GTGTGTGTGTTATATCTGTGCATGTTTGTTTTGGCATAATTAGTCATATGGCCCTGACTTACATCCAAAGATCAAAAATGTATGTTGTCTATTTTTTCAGGATGAAGGGGGACAATAGATGAGTTCATGTGGGCTGTAGTCAGACAGGTGACGCAGGTGTCACATCTCTTTCTGCCTCTCTGTCTCTCTCTGCACAAACACACACACATCCCCCATCACTATTTTGAAAATATATGTAGAACTCTGCCTTTGATTGATGCTGGGCAATTCCCTGTAACAGACAATAATGTGAACCATCACAGTGCTTTCATGAAATAAGGCACAGTTTGTGAGAAGAGTCACACAATGTGAACAGTGAGCAGGATGACAAGGTGCGTTGTGGAGATTTAGTGCGTCACACATGTTACTCTGTTTCATAATTTTCCTGCTAGTCTGATGTACATGCTGGCTACTAAGTTGCAATGAGAGTGTTTCTGGTTGGATTTATTATAAAAATATATTTTAGGAAAAAATATATCAAAACTTCATTAAACAAGCATCTCACAAAGAGAAAAAGTATTCAAGAAAATAAAGGGTCTCAATGTCAGAAAAGTGGGAAGACATACTAGCAGAGAAAATTGTAAATATACAGTAAATAAAAGAAATAATATCAGTAACAACGATTATATGGATAATGAGAGTAATATTTAGTAGTACTCATGTGTTTAATGAACCACTAAGGAAAACTAAAAACAAACAAACAAACAAACAAACAAACAAACAAAGAAACCAACATTAGCATTGGAAACCAGCAGAGTGCTGAATTAAGGACATAATCTTATCTCTTTGATTTAGAAATTATGAAGTGACCACTGTTCTAAGCATCACAAGACTAGGACAGGGCACAAATTTGTTAGTTTTCTCTTTTGAGCTTCCAGTGACAGGAGTGCACACACACAGCCAGACAGACACGTGCACAGGCACGTGCACAGACCCACACCCATACACTTCTTTTCCAATGTGCACTTTATCGATGCTGTTGACTCTACATTTTAATGGTCATCATCTCATGAATCTGCACTTTAGCTGCTCATCCATCTCATCCACAGCTTCATAAACCTCTGTGGATGGTTCTTCAGCACTTTCCGAGGTGTCCTCATGTACAAATCAGTGAATGTCCTCATTACACATACTGTTCACTGATGAGTGATGAGCCTGTGGACAGCAGCACCACAGCCCGTGCCTGAATGGAGTTCATTAAGCACATACATTCTCCATGAGGCACATCAAAGCCTTCTTGGCACTTGGGAACACTGGACAGCCCTACTATGCCAAAACAGCAAAATTAGACATGAAAGCAACAAATATGTGAAAATCTGGCACTAAATTGCCCATGCAAAAGACACTTGTTTCATGATGGGAAGTGAGACAAGATGGATGAGTCTTCCCTGTTGACCTCAGCTGAGGGTGTGCCCACTGTGGCTCCAGTATTTTCCAACCAGTTCAAGCCCACAGATCACCATGAAAGGCAGCCAGTTTTGATTTGGAGATTCAGATCAATGTTAGTGGGTAGGTGGAAGAATGAACATGTAATATGGGAACACAGAGGTCACCTGTACACACAGTGTCAGGACAGTGTTGCATTAGAAGTCTGGAACAGTGCACATTTCAGTTTTTACCTTATTTGTACAATGCTGCTGTAGAACATAAATAATTTGACTTCTCTTTTCATGTATTCAATAAATAAATTGAGGGATCTGCACATGCTTTGGTATCTTCTGAGACTTCTCAGGACTTTCACCAAGTTTCAGAATTCCAGGCTCACTCTGAAAAATAAGGTGAGACTTATTATTATAAGTAACCTCTTTGAATAAGAAAAAAAAATCTTAGACCTTGAGTAGTAAAATAATGTAATATGTTATAATACATGATAAATACACAACTTTACTTGAAAATAAGACAAAAACATTAATAAAAAGAGATACATCAAAGGGTTTCTTGAAGACTGTCTTGAAAGAGAGAGAAAACCACAGATTTTGACAAGTCCTCCCCAGGTCTCCCTGCACCTGCTCATGGAGCTGAGTTCTGAACATGGTGGGTCTGGAGTGCCCCCTGCTGCCCAGTCCACACTGTCTTTCTTCAGGGAGGTTCATGTCTGGGCTCACACTGACTCCCCCTCACTGTGTTTCTTGCATAGTAGTCCTTGGCCGTGTCTGTGGCTCTCAGGCTGTTCAGTGTTAAATACATTTGTTTCATTCAGATGTCCCTGCTTATGCTGACTTGGGATTTAAGAGCTGGGTATATGCTTCTTTCAGTCCATATCGTATCGACCCACACCAGCACCTTTCCTAAAGGCTGGTGGATCCAGGACACAGCATTGCTGGTTAAAGAGAACCAGAGACAGAGAAGGTGAGGGACAGGTCCTGACTCCTGCAACTGCACCTGGTACAGGACACCTGTGGACAAGGACCATCAACATCAAACACACAGGA